TATCTTAATAAACTTTCAGCATAGCTTTCTCCCCGTTTAGATTTATTTTTCTTGGGATCTTGGGATCAAACGTGGAAAGATTAGATTGTAATAGTTTTTATTTTTTAAATACATTTTAGAAAAGTGTAATCTATACTAAAAAGCCGTACACCACCTGCTATAAAGATACATATTGTAATACTTTCGGATTCGGATAGGACGGACACAAAAACTCAGACTTGCGGAGTTAAAGCAAGTTAAATTTAAAGCACCTTGAATTGAATTGAATTGAGAGAGAGAGCACAGCCAAGACAGACAGGCAAATAACATACACTCCACAGATATTCACAACAGTGACATATCATAAAACGTTTGCACATATTGTTAAATTATTATTTGTTTTTCAGGAAGTTAAAAAAACACTTGAATTACTTATTCAGTCTCTCGAAAAAAATATATTTTTCAAGCAATGCAACTAACGTCGGGCAACGTGTTTTTTTTAATCCAACATTGACAGCCACATCTTAAATCTTGTCAGTTATGTCTTTTTTCTCTATTTGAATTGTGGTGATTCAAACAACTTGGGATAACAAGTGGTCTCAAAGTTACTAAGATTTCCCTTCAGTGGTAAAATTCCATATAAATATTCAATACTAAAACGGGCACAGTAAAGACATTTAAATCTTTCTACGACCGACCGACGCGCCACGAGTGCCCCTGTCGTTCAACCAATCACGTACCACGATGCATCTGACGCGCACTTTGTGTCTGTGCCGCGCACTTTGAATGGCTGCATCTGTATGGTTTAACGTTTTAAATTTTAAGTTTAATTGTTGGCTGCTTACTAAAATTGACTCATAGAGGCACAGTTCAACATTCAACTCATTCCAAACCTGAAAAATATATATATTTATAAGTTAATGCACTGAAAGCCTCAGCATTGTGACTGTCATGCTCATGTGCATTGTGGTCATAATATGCTCCCTTGTGGACAATATATTGAATTGCAATCACTTAAAAATCTGCTCATATTCTTTAGAAAGAGGTTGTCTACATTAAACTGTAATGACCAAAAAGCTCAGCTTCATATCATCATATATGAAAAGTGCACTATTAAGAAAGTTATGTGACTCCAGCCTCCTTCTTATACAGTTAAAAATACATTGCCTGTAATTCTTAAATCTGATTAAAGACTCTTTCCATGAATTTGATTATGTTTTAACATTTTACCCTGTTGTCACTGACTCTGTAGAGTTCAATCGTTTTTCTTTGTTTTAATCTTGGCCTATAAACATCCTGAAAGGCTGTTCTGTTATTCTTGAAAGGTCAGGATGCCCTAGATAAGATTACAGCCAGTACCCCTCACCCAAACAATTGAAAAAAAAAAACAATAGTACCTCTCAATTCCAAGCTCTTTGTTAGTGATTTGCTGAATTGTAACCATCACTTTCTTCTCGATTCCCTGTCTCAGTTTGAAGTAGAATTTGTCTCTGTCCTTTGGTACTGGACTGTGAGAGAAAAAATGAAACAAATATGTTAGTTTTAATTAATTAGGCAAACTTTTTCAGTATTTAACCAATACAGTCTAGAGCCGTGGTTCTCAAACTGTGGTACGCAGAGCGCCCCCAGGTGGTACGTCAGATGACCCTAGAAATTTGTTGTGTGCATTGAAAAATTGGGACGGGTTTTCATATTTTCTATTTTAATAAAATGAGTTTATGTGTCAAATACACAGCCTACATACTACAATACAGCTCACACTAATATTTGAGTGGACACAAGAGCTACTACTGTATATAATTCTATACCATTGTATAGGAATGCGTGCTATGAACGGAAGTGACCAATTGTATTTAAAAAAAAGTTTATCTTCAGCAGATAGAGAGGTAGATAACAGAAAAATATTTAAGGACTGTTCTAGGTAAATTTGAGAAAAATACACAGAGCGTCTCTGTGTTTTGCTCCCATGTGCATGAAATAAAAACTTATTTTAACTTCTGAGACGGACTCCTGAAACGGAAACGTGGGAAAATGCAAGCTTGCAGATTGCTAAAGCAGGTAAGCCCCACACTATTTGTGAAGAACTTTGTTTACTGTTGGCAAAAGAGCAGCCAACTCTTAAAAGAGTATAAAGTGTGGAGAAAAACCTGCTAACAGCTCGACCTGCTGCCCCTTTCGAATAACAGAGTCACTTGCATAATTATTGATATGGCAAAAGTACGCTGATAGAGCTCATTAAGATGAGCAGATGCTTTTCACTGCAATCAGATGAGTCTGTTGATGCTGTTGATTTGGCCAATTTGTTCATTTACTTTAGATACGAGATTGAGGGTACGTCCCATGAGGACTTTCTGTTCCGTAAAGCCGCTACCAACAGGAACTACAGGAGAGCACATATTTCAGCTTCAGAATGTATTTATCAAAGGGAATGGCATCGACTGGAAAAAAATGCGTCTGAGTTTGTACAGATGGTGCTAGAGTGATAACAGGCAGACACAGTGGTGTAGTTGCACCAATTAGAGAGGTTGGTCCAGATGTGCACTGCAGCATCCACCATGAGGCCTTTGCTGTCAAGAAAATGCCTGAGGATTAAAATCTGTTAGACTCTGTTGTCAAAGTTGTGAACTGTATCAAGGCTCAACCAATGAATTCACATATGTTTTGGTCAACTAAACAGGCTCACCCCTCTCACTGAAATGGTAAGTGCTCAGTGCTATTTTTATTATATGTGTACGTGAGTGTGTGTGCACGTGAACTTATGTTGGTCATTGAGATTTTGTTGGGTGAGAAGATGACTTGTAGGTGGTATCTGGATGCTTTGGTTTGATCAGGGGTGGAACTTGGTCCAGAAAGTTTGAGAACCACTGGTCTAGAATAACTGCAATTTTTGTTGTTGGCAGTAGATTTTGTGGCCAATCATAAAATAAATTTAACTTTTCAATCTTGCTCTATACTGTATATAAATGTATATTTCAGATGAGATTTAATCAAAGTATATCGAATGAATTTGTATAAACAGAGTATGGTTTCTGAATAAATCATTAAAAAAACATAGATTAAGAGCTCGGACCTTTTGATTTCTGCCTGATGCACATATAGTGTTTCATATAGTCAGATAAGTTGAAATGCAAAATGTGTTGCTTAGAAATCTCCATTCTGTAAATAGGAATTTATTAAATAGACTCCCCCCCAAAAAAGATATAGTTACATGTAAAAGTATTCACCTCCTGCCTATAGTATTACATTATGATTAATATCAATTTTGATTAATTATTTATATTTATTTCAAATTACATTTAAATACATTTTTTTCAAAAATGTATTGATCAAATTGAACACTTGATAAAAAAACTGTAAAGCACTTTGAGTGGAGTGTCCAGAAAAGTGCTATATAAGTTTAAGGAATTATTATTATTTGTATATGTGAAGGATTTTGAATGTCAGCAAAACCTACTATATACAGTATATATCAAGGGATATTAACTGATTGAATCATTAATCAGACTACCTACAAAATTCAAGTACTTGACAGAAGCACCTTTGGCCGGAATTACTGATTCCAGTATTTGTGAATAGGTCTCCACAAGCTTCAAGATTAATCTTCTTCAGGAAAAGCTCTTTCTCACCCATACAGGGCATACAGGGCAAATTTGTGTATGAACTTGTATACTGTCAATGTATGAACAATAAGTCCTGTCTCAAATATTGTACTTTGGCGTCTCTAATCAGTTTCGTTCTTGTTCAATTGCTCAGTTTTGAAGGGCAGGGTGATCTAAGTAGTGTCAGGGTAGCATGATCCACAGCCCCGATCTTAATAATAGTATTCAAAGGAATGAGAAGACTTCTCCTGCTCTGTGTCTAACACTTTATCTCCAATTCTAAATTTCTTAAACAAACTTAGTTGCAAAACATCAAACAAATTCAAGAATTTACTTTATTTTGTAATTCAATATGTGCTTTTAAAATACTAGAAATGCCCAGAAATGTCTACATCATAACCATTCTTATGAATGTACCCTACATTAGCAATTCTCCAGTCTATGGATATGACCACTGTCTTGAATTACTTGGGTTGAGTTAAGTCAGTGGCTAAAGAGTAATATATCAGGTGGGTAGCTGCATCAGCATGCGTAGGCTGCAAAGGAACAAGTAACAGGTTTATTCCATGCTGAAAACAGAAGAAAGAAAACACAATGTTTCGGCCGTGGAGCCTCCTTCAGGTGTGAGCACCTGAAGCCTCACACCTGAAGAAGGCTCCACGGCCGAAACGTTGTTTTCTTTCTTCTCTTTTCAGCATGGAATAAACCTATTACTTGTTGCTAAAGAGTAATATTTCTTGGTTTCTTGAGTATAATTGGAAAGATAACATATGAACCCTTTGACTTATTTAATACATCAGCCATTTCCCTATTCATTTACTAGAAGATTACCATTATTCTACAGGATATATTTTACTTCAGTATTGGTAGTTCTTTTTTTGGTGTAGCACTGATTTTTATTATATTTTAGTCTCGACTGTAATATTCCTTGATTTTTTCTCTTGAACCTTCCAATATCCTTTATCTGTATTTGTAATTCATTGTACACCTTTTCTTTAACAGAATCTTGTTTTTAAATAATTTTTATTCAGGGATACATTTATTTTGTACGGCATGCAGAGCCTGTTTAAATTGATGTCATCAATTTTCCATTGACTTTCTGTCTAGAATTTATTTGGAATCCTGAAATCAGGCAAGTGAGTTTATGTCAGGACTAACATTCCATAGCTTTTTCTGAAGGATAAGAGAATCTGTGCTTTCAAAGACTACAGATGGTAATAGGATATTCAGCAAATTTATGTTTAAAAATCATTAAAACTCTTTTTTCTTCAGAAAAAAAATAACATGCAACACCTATGCATATGGTTTGGATGAATAAAGGTAACACTGTCTATACTCGGGAGAGTATTTTTACCTGAAGTTTCCTTTCCCATCATCTTCTTTGACTTCTAGGGAGACAGTGAAAGTGAAAATGTCACTCTCTGGAGTGGGAAGAGAGGAGTCTTTCACATCAGGTGCTGGCTTCGAGGACCGTCGGAACGCAGTCGAGAAACTGTACAGGATGCGGCTGACCTAGAGAGGAATTTCGAAAACAGCATGTCATTTTAACAAAATATCTGTTTATTTTGGTCTAAATAGAAAATGTGTCTCATAAAGATCAAACAATACAGTATGTATCACAATCCATAAGACACGGTACAATGTGCGATATGATACTGGTAGTAAATTCGTGTTTAAACTTAAGACTTGCTGATATAGGTTAAGCTTAAAATGAAACACATACAATATATAATTTAAAATAAAACAAATACATTGCAACATGTTATCACCATTTACTAAGATGCCAGTGAACCCTGGGCTAATTTTGTGGCAAGGAGTGGGGGAGTGGGCTGGGCACCATAATTGAATTAATGATTAGTAGTAGATTGAAGTAAACATTGAAGTAATCCTTAGAGTATGGGTGTTAACCTGGTGTCCTGGCCAAATTTCCCTGACCTTTCCCAGTCTTGGCCTCCTAACAATCCCAATCTATGATTTGGCTTTATTACACTGTTCTCCTCTCTACTGATAGCTGATATGTGGTGAGCGTACTTGCGCACTTTGGCTGCCACTGCATCAGTGTGTTAATCAAATCGATGCCTTTTACCTAGACATTGCAATGTACTACTGTACTAGTATAGTACGACTATACTACATTAAGAAAACATTAATAGTACTGTTGACTATCATCCTATTTTTGATTAAGCAGAACTGTACATCAGCTAATCAAGATGATCATGTAAGTCACATAAATGTCAATTAAATCAATCTGTCACTGCAATGTCTAGATAAAACTAAAGCATTTAAAGTGCATTTCAGTGTAATTTTGTTATGAATGACAGGTTTGCCAGGAACCCTAGGAATACTTGAGATTCAGTTCTGGGACACCCAACTATAACTCACAGCCTCCTTGATCTCACAGGAGAAGACATGAATCTGGAAGTCTTCACAGCTCCGATAGCTCTCCGTAAAGGCAAAGCAGTCACTTTCTGGAGTCCCATCTCGTCCCCTGGCACAGAATAATACCTTATAGATTGGAAAGGCAGCTATCTCTGTGCCTGAGGCCTGCTCTATGATTCTGGAAAACACCAGAGGAAATGTGATAGGTGTTTAGAGTGCAGTGCTCCAAAAGCAAAAACACATTTAATCAAACCTAAAGGAGTACACAGAAGAAACTAGTAGAGATTATTAACAATTCTTATCAAAAGACAGTTAAGACAACAGCATCATAGAGGTGTAAAAAAAGGGAAGAATGAGCTGCACATATGGAGCTCATATTAACAGAAGTTAATGCGTATAACAAAAGTAGTTATAATAACACTTCATTGCTCAACTATATGTACTACTTATATTAATTATACAGCAATGACATTTTTATTACATTTTCTGTACTGATGCACAACATCATGAATATACAATACATTTCTCACAGTACTGCTTACCAAGGTATGAACACATTTTTAATGAAAACAACACAAATAAATGAAAACATCACACTGGGTCAGAAGCAAGTTTTCTTTAGGTAGAAATACTGGTTTTGATCAAGGAAATTTATCAAATCTATTGTCTGCAAAATGATAATCATTTTTTTTTATATTAATTTAACATTAAATATATTTCTTGTTTGATGTCACGATCCTGGGCTCTTTAAGTGCAATAACAAACTACAGATTATCCTGTCATGAACACAAGCTTTACCAGGACATTCACAGCTTTACACACAAATAAAATGTATATGTTGAACACTATTTAATCAGAAATTAAAAGCAGATGTGACCTTAGGGATACAAGTTATATTCATATTGAAGTCATTGTCTGTCTGTAGTGTTCACTCACTGTCATCACAGAAACTTTATTTTAGTCTATAAAAGTTTAATGCTATAGAATTCCTTAGCATGGAAAGTATTAAACAGAGGCTGCATTAGGCTATCAAGCTCCATGTGCTGAGCAACTCACAAAGGATAAATGTATTTCTTGAAGGATCCAGTTTCAGTATCCTTTTCAAAATCCCTAAACTTCCCAATGTGAAAATCACACATGTCTACCAATTGTATTTTATCTGAAGACACAGTCTTGCCATCCTCCACTGAGCCTGAAACACTGTATCCCCGTGGACTCACTCAAGGACTCGCAGAAACAGAAGCACTTTATGATGAAATAATAGCAACTTAATGCAAATGAGAATTAAGTGGTGAATCTAAGCAATATGTGTTAAGGTATCATCAAAACTCACCTGACAGATCCCTCAGGTACATTTGGCACATAGAGGGTGACTAGAACGGGGACATGTTTCTCAGCCTTCAAAGAGGCCATTGCTTTCTGAGCCTCAGCTTCACTGCGTGGCACGCGAACCATCATACTGCCCAAGTAAGACAGCTTATTAAACAGCACACTGTCCTCCTCTGGAAAGGCAGAGGAATCAGAGTCTCCCGCAGGGACGTCTAGAAGGGGAAAACACAGGTTTCTCAATTTTAAAATAATTAACATATAAAATGAAACATTTTCAAAGGTTTAGAGACTTATTGACTGTACAGTATGCCTGCTTTCTAACCAAACATACTGTAACAATCTTAGAAGAATTTTAGTAAGTACAAAACAATCATATTTTGAACCTAAAACAAGGCCAAGAAACCAGTTTCTAGTGTGGCTCTTACAGATGTAGCTCATTCAAAATGAGCAGTAAAACCCCATAATGCAGGTATCGGGCTACAGGCAGCCACAGTACGTATTCCCTGGCCAAAGATGATCGACAAGTGGCTTATTTGGATCTTAGTGAAACAATTGCTTCATTTAATCTCTCTAGTGTGCATGTTTAAATCTACTTAATATGGAATTTTACAACTAAAGGAAATTTTGGTAGCTGAGCATAAAAATAACGGGAGCGTAATGTCTCTGAACATCATAAATTATATTAATTTAGAAATATAAATATATTATACTACCTGTATATGGCCGGTAGTGGTAGTTATAATACACAACAGTATTCCAATTCCTTCATGAACATTTAATGCTTCAAAGTCTTTCACTCGGTCACTTACTGTGGTTATTTTGAAAAAAGTTTTGATGTGTTCGTTCTGACTATATTAAGTTTATATACTTTACAAAAAGCTAAAATATTTTAACCTTTTCTATGAATACTTGCACTCCTTAACAGGGAGTGTACAGTGCCATGAAAAAGTATCCTGGCTTCCTCTAGTATTGCAATTTATTTACACTGAATGTTTTCAAGTCTTCAACCCACATCTAATATTAGATAAAGGGAACCTGAGTGAACAAATAACACATTTTGTTTTTATTTATTTTAATTAATGAACAGAGGTATCCAACACCAACTGGCACTTTGTGAAAAAATAATTGCCTCCTAGTTAAATCAACCTAATTGTAGGGATAATTAGAGTCAGCTGATTGAACACAGCCAGGCTTGATTACAGCCAGCCCTGCTCAATATAAACCTCACTTATTTTGACCCTTACCATCAGAGCCAGGTTGGCAGCACATTATACCTGTCAACGTTGTTGATACTGTATCTATCAGTCTGGAAAGGGTTACAAAGCCATTTCTAAGGCTCCAAATGGAGAACACTTGGAACAGTAGTGAATCTTCCCAGGAGTGGCCGGCGTGCCAAAATTTCTCCAAGGGCGCAGCTCACCCTGTCATTGCGTTACATAGATTGGGTTACGTAAAACTGTTTAGCCTAAAAACAAAAAGCTTGTCCTGTAAACCTATTCATACATAGCTCGTCTTGTGAACTACCATCATGTATAGCTCATCTCATGAAATAAAAATACGATCAGAATAGACTACGATGTTAACCCAGTTTAAGGATACTGCAGCCGAGAGAGATATAATCTATATTTTTATTATTTATCAATGTTCATCACTGCAGCTCATATTTGCAAATCCTACAGTCAATCAAAACATTTATTTGTTCTGAGTTCACAGTTGGCTTTCATTGAGTTATTTGAAGTTAATTTTGAATTTTAAACGTATTTGAATCCTATTTTATTTTTTATATTTAACTCTGAACATAATTTTGAATTTTATTTTTGTACAAAAAAACAAAACTTTTTTTCCTGAAATTTAAGAGTGAAAGACTGTAGTAAGAAGTAAGAAGAATGAAGTTAAGATGAAACGTTTTTAACGTTTTGTGTTTCTTATTATTTTATTAAATAAAGGAATATGGCTTCTGAATAATGACAAATATTATTTTTCACAGCCTTTCTCATTTACAAGCCATCATTTTCAGCTAAGCCGATTAACTGATTATCAAAATATTCATTTGTTGCAGCCCAAATCACAAAGTGTTCAATAAATAAATTGAAAATATGAATGAGCAAATATGAATACTGTCAACAGTGGGAGTCAAAAACAGTTCAACTGGTTTAATTCAATTCAATTCAAAATACTGCATCACAATGCGGCAATTCAAGACAAGCCTTTACAGCAAGTCTTAAATGAAAAAACAAAATAGTATATATTACAACTATAATTGAGAATAACAAAGCAATATTAAAAACACCACTGAAACCTATAATATAACTGAAATAACTATAATAACGTATCTGATCACTATTTACAATATGAAATTACCAATAATAACAATTTCAAACTTTTTGTATTTTGTTCATGGTCATTTCTCAGTGTTTTCACAACCTTTGCTTTCTTATTAAGACAGTACGCTTCAGATGTCACTAACTCTGCAAACAAATGACACAGAGCCTTCAAACCACAGGCATCTTAAAGATCGCAATTTGTGAAAAGTTTTCTTTATATAACTTTTATATATACAACATCAGGTACCTGGTTCCATTTTCAGAAACCTTATTTTGAATAAAGCGGATCCCAGGTGTAAGCAAGTTCATAATGCGATAATGACTATTCCTATGTATGGGAAACACCTGACCATATAAAGGATGGATGGACTTGTGGATTAATATCTGTAAAACATTCCAATTTAAAATTTATATGAAAGAATTTGCAAACATGGATACTGTCAATGGCAGGGATGAATACAAGCCTTAAAACAAAATTCTATATATATTTTATAATTGTAATCTAGAATATCAAAGTTGTATTATGAAGGCCACTGAACATGCACTGAAGTGTATGAAAAGGTCTACGTTTAATCGCAGCCAAAATACAAATTATACTTTTAAAAAGTTGTTCCTTGGAATTATTTTGGTGCTTTCTATGTGTAATACCTAATCGCAGCAGGGGAAGGGTGTGCGGCGGAAGGTTTAGGCTGCAATTGAATTGGGATTCTCTGTTCTTCACACCTGAAACACTGCATTTATTTTCTTCCCTTTTCAGCATGGAATAAACCTTTAAATGTTCCTTTACAGCCTTTACGCATGCTGACGCAGCTCCCTACTTGAACTCTCGGTTCTTTACTGAGGCGGCTTTGGACAACTTTACAACATTATTTTCTTTGTGACTTTTTTTCTCCTGATCATAACTGTAAGAAATTATCACGTTTCACTTCCTTGTGTAACAATCATCATGTTTCTGAAACATGAAGCTTCTAAATTTTTTAAGAATTTGCTACCAATAAGTTTCTGAGTGCCATTAACAATATTAATTTATTGATATAGATATGTGTATTCAGCTGGTTGTATCAGGATATTAATTTTATATATCACAGTATTTAAAAGTTCAATTCACATTCATGTTTTCATAGCAGGGTAATGGGGACCCCATCCCCTCTGACAGACAAAGGTGATAAAGGTGTTAAAAATTCAAAGGGGTGCCAGTTCAGCACATTTTAAATTAATGAGAACAGCAGCAGCACCTGCGTCGATATTAGTGGTTTTATAATAAATAATATAACAATAATTATTATGAACAACAATAACAATAATAATAAACAAATAACATCATAAATCAAATTCCAAAAAGATTAACTACAGCAAGTCTTTTTCTTTTTCAGTTTAATGAGCAAACATACAGTCAAATCAGTCAGGATCTCAGAGTTTAACAAGTGTCAAAAACATTTCGCATAACAAAACCATGAAAGAGCCAGACTTTAAATTTAGATCAGATATCTCCATAGGTTTCCAAACAGATCAATGAAATAAGCTGCAATACAGTCAAGCAGATAGATATTAAATTCTTCAAGCAAAATTAGCTCTTTAAGGGTTGTCAAAATTAGATTCTTTGCAAGCATTACATGACTTCTCAAAAGACACCTGTTTCTCTCATCCAAACAAAGGTTAGATTGTTTGGGATGGTATGCCTTAGGGACACATTCATAGTGTAATCCAAACCACCTGCTGGGCACACCGTGATCTTGACATGCCGGTGACATGCCGGTAAAGTAGAGTTAACAGGTTTTGTTTTAAGCAGTTTCGGATTTGTATTAAGATTTGTATCTGTTGTAACTGTTAATACAGTGTTGAATATAACTGAGGTTCTACTGTTTAAAGTTTAAGATTTTAAAGTTATGCAATATCTAAGTTAAGCAGGGACTTTATCTTATTTTTTATTTTATTTTAAAAAATGATTGAAAAATCAGCTACCCACTTTCACCTTGCTGTAACTATACTGGGGATGTAGTATATTTGGGGCTCTATCCATGATCTTTGATCTGTTCTGTGGAGCCGATATTTCTTCCTTGGTTCACGTGTGCTGCACTTGGGGTTGTTTTAGTTTGTAGTGGTCCTTTGTATTACAGGTATTTGGGTACTACAGTTTGTATTATGGGTAACTGTCAGTTTAGAGGATTTTACTCTGCTCCCAACTTTGGAGCAGTCTGAGAAATGTCAAAAGGCAGATGTTTAATCCACAGTGGATTTTAATCTCTCGGTTTACTGGAGAAGTATCAGATGTTAAATTGAGAAAGTTGACAACCACCACCCCCAAACAGACAAACGTCATAAACGTGATAAAAATCCATTCAAAATGGTGCAGTGTGTTAACACAAACTCTGCTAGCAGAGCCGTTTGTAAGAGCAAGGTGACTTTCTGCTCAATTACATGAGAGTTACAATACAATCAGACAGATTTTAAATTCTTGAAGCAACTTTAGCTGTTTGTCAAATTCACCTTCTTTGTATAGTACATGACTTCTGAAAAGGTACAGATGCAGCCAATCAAAATGAGCGGGGTACGTTGCGGAACAACGCGGTGGGCGTGTCGCATCAAAACGTATCATAACGAGTCATTTCACATCATACCTCATTTTACCATATGCAAATTCGATTATGTTAACAGTATCCGGAATCACCTTGTAAAACCGCCAGGTGAAGCTAATAAAGCTTAACCTCTCATGTACAGCATTTGAGCTGTCACCAGAAAACACCCGTTTCGAATCCCGATCACTGCTGAGGGACAATCTTTATTCAATTAAGAATTTAAGTTGTATACTCTTTAGACTTTTAAATTTAACTGTGTATTACAGCATGTTAATCATTAAACATAAAAACTTGGTATATTTTATGAATACAAGATTGCTCAGTTGGACAAAAGTACACAACCTACCACCTTTATCATGAATATTTTAATTATGCAGAAATATTTTATGCATTAAAGTGTTTACCGAAGATATCTCTAATAGTATTAATAATGAACGACCTTGGACAAGCTGTAAGCAAAAAGTATTACTCAAAGTATTACCCTGGTCCACATTCTTTGTAACCGTCTTTGTAAACGAAAATACTT